TATATATATATATATATATATAAAATAGCACTGTTTGACCCGCTGGTGATGTCAACAAATAATGTGATCCCTTCCATGATTTAAGTTGCCCATTAAAATTAATAAAACATTATATAGTAAAATTCATTCTTATTATGGCTATATGTAAACATCTGTCTTCAAGAAGTGAAATGATGTGCACAGTACAGTGCCCTTATCTTGCATTTTCTTTGACCTATTCTCTCTTAATTACACAGGTTAAAAGCTACAATGTCCAGTTGGGAATTTAAAGCACTGAGGGGTAAATGGGTTTACCAGCACCATGAGCAAAACTCAGACACTCGTGTTTCCACCTGTAGTACATCGTTGACTTTGGTAAGGCCCACTGGCCTCATATTCTCTACAACAGTATTATTGTAGATAAGCACCACATGGCTAATGAACAGAGAGAGGGCTTGTTGAAGGTCAGCCTCTTCATTTAGGAGCCCTCCAATGAGATGGCCCACTCTGCATGGCTAAACCCATCAACATAATAATGCCAAGGACCCACCTTTTTAAAGTCTTGCATCTTTTTTTTTTTTTCTACCTCCATACCCCCCGCCCTGCTGGCCTGGCATGCTTTACTTTATACGTCTCTGATATTCCCCTTCATCTGAATTATGTTGATTTCCTCGTTTCTTTCTGAAAGGCTTTTAAAGGTCTTGGCAATTATCCCTCTCTGGATGTGCTTAGAGAAGGATGCTGTCCGTCCAGCGTGTGCTGATGATAGGGAAACATGGTTTAACACAATCAGAGATGCAAAGCAACACTGCGTCAGGGTGCTGATGTGACCGGGTGCCAAGGCCGGCCAAGGTCATGTTCATCTGCATGATTGAGGGAGATGAATTCTGCCCTGACCTCTGGATCATACTGGAAGGAAGTCCTATAGTTTGTGTCTGTGGAGTGAAAATTTGACCATTTCTTATTTGAAACTAAGACTTGGAGACTTATACTCACTTGTATTATTCATTTTTTAATTATTTTTTTTATTTAGAAAACTTAAAATCAATCTATTGTCATATTTTTTCCAGCTGTGCTCTAAATTAACCACATTCTTAAATCTGTGTATTATTAAATAAAAGGTTTTTTTGAACTACAGGTACTATTTTTGAATAAAGGTGAGACAGCTGTTGTCTCCCTGCTCTTTACTGTCCCCTCCTGGAGGGACGAGGCAGCTGWTTTCTTTTCTTTTTTTCTTTTTCTTTTTTTACACATTGACATCTGTCTGTCACTCTGAATGCAGAAAGACATAAATGAGTTCATTGTTTCTTCCTAGATATGGCAGCAATGTTAAACAGCTTTAATACTTTACATGTTAGTGAGAGAAACATAGGGAACTACAGTTTGTCCACAAGTAGGAAGAAACAAAACTTGGTGCACATTTTTTTTCTGCTTACATTTACATAAACCTTTTTTTTGGACTTTTTTTCTTGAAATTATTGCCTTAGTCATTGTTTCAGTGGAGGAAAATATGAGAGGACAAATACTGAAATAAAAGTGAAAATGTGCRTCTGGGTAAGCAGGTGTGCTGGTTGAGGAGGAAAGGTGAGGGTGCTCAAGAGATTTCATGGTTACACAAAAGCACACAGAACCCTATATCACTCATTTTGCCCCACGTTATCTTTCCTGTTAAGAAAAGGTAAGTCAAACCGAGTAGAAAAACACCACTGCGTGTTTGTGGATTTTTACTTTTTATTTTTTAGTTAAAATTTATTCGCTGCCTTGCATTCTTTCTCTCTCGCAGTCCCACACTGTTCATTCAGTGTCCCAGTGGACACAAGAACGACGGCTGGAGAAAAGAGTGGGGGTGGCATTGAGGGGGCGAAGAGGGGTGATGGAGTGCAGGAGTGAGAACACTCCACATCACAGAGCAAGGTGTCAATCACCTCCACAGTTTTGCCACACACACACACACACACACACACACACACACACACGTATCATGAAGCACCATTTCTACGGAGTGGAATTAAAAATACAGTGGCAAGAAGCAGAAACGCGAGACTGGGAGAGAGAGAGAGAAGTGGGAAAAAAATAGTGGGAAATATAAGAAAGCGAATGGGACAAAAGGGGATGTGCAGAGAATTCGACCTGGATGATGCAAAGGTCAGAAAAAAAAATTTCAGAGTGCAAAGTGGATTCACCAAAAGTCATTACCTACCACAAATTACCTGGGCAACAAGCCTAAAATAAATAAATAAATCACTTTACATCAACAAGAAAGGAGAGCAGGAGAAACTGGGGAGGAGCAGTTGAAAAGCTAGGGTTGGGAGGAAGGAGAAGGGGGAGTGAGGAGGAGGAAGAGGAGGAGGGAGATATGTGTGTGTGTGGGGTGGGGGGGGGGCAGTGGCAGGAGAAGGATGAAAAATCGATAGACAAACAAGTGAGAGGGCACTTGCAAAAAGGAAGCCAAAGGGGGGAAAATTAAGCATTTAAAGAAATTCTGTTTTGGCTGTGTGCAGGAGGATGAGAAAAGGAGAGKGGGGAGGAGGAGGAGGGTGGGGGAGCCGGGAGCACAAAAGCGCCTGAGGGTGGAGGGGTGTGAGTGTGGCAGAGACGGGCGGGCCACAATGCCCTGCAGCTTGATAGGGTTGAGTGACCACATCAGGTTTAGGAGCGAGCGGAGAGACGTGGGGCAAAACTCAGTGGCTTTAAGTCAAGAGGATTAGATTYAGGGTTTCTCTCTTTCCTTAACCTCCTACTCTCCTTCTACCCCTCTCTTTCCCTCTCTCCCTCCTCATGTCTGCGAGGTGGACTGCTCTAGTGCCGGCTGTACAATCAGTAAAGAGAAGGACCAAAGTATTACTAATAGTCTGGTTTTTAATGTTTCAAGTGGTAAACCGGAGAGCTGGCCCGAGCTGCTCGGCACCAAGGTAAACAGGTCAATAGTATTGATCCTGATTCTGACTCTCTCCTCTAACACACATAACAACACACAAACACATGTACGGCTTTTTGGCTCCGAAAAACGGAATGCATTACAGGCTTTCTCTATCGCACTGAAGTTGTGGATGTGGAGCTGACATGTGCACAAAGACTCAAAAAATGTAAAACTCACCTTTTATTCATTATTCACAAATGTAAAACAGCGTAACATGCTCTAATGTAGAAATCCCACCGGCTTTAATACACTTAGACATGAATCACAAACACATATCGACTCCCTCATATTGTCATGTCTAATTTCACTCTGTCAAACGGTGTAATAAAATACGTGGTAGGTAGCAGCCGACGCCGCAGCAGCTGCACCCAAACATGAAGGCAGAGCAAATCATTTGAATACAGATTCCTATTGTCCTTCTTATGTCAATAAAACTCAGCAGTGCTAAGGAACTTGCATGGTCAGCAACATTATGGGACTAATTAGCATTTTCTTCTTTTCTTCTGCTGGTTGATGTATTTAAAAAAGCCTGGAGGGTCTGCTGCGTTTAATGTAATTAAAGCAAAAGGAGCAACTCTTGCTTCAGAGTAAGAGCACATAAAGGCTGCCTCAAAAGGAGAACCTCAAAACTAAAGTGTCCCAGAGTGGTTTTTCTACACTGAAACACGAGAGGTTGTACAAAACGTAAATGTTGCAGGTGAGTTTGGTTGTTGAGCCAGTTTTCCACCCAGAGGGACTCAAATTTGGGCTTCAATATGGCCATAATCATCGAAGGAATTCTTGAGTGAGACTTGTTTTAACCCCCAGCCACTCCAGGAGCTCGGTGAATTCGCTGAAGCTGCAACACATAAAGAATATAAAAAAAGTGATAATAATAGGAGCTGCAATAAATATACGGCATTATCGTTCCTCTTCCACTCTGGGCAAGAAGGTGTTGAAGTAAAACGTATGAAAAATGAACCTCGGTGAATAGTTTGTGAGAAAGTAATGATTATTTCTTTCCAAAAAATATAAAAAGTAGACAGTTCTTTGTTACTGACGTGGCTCGTCTTTTCTGGCTGCGGGCCATTTTTGGACGTGTTGGTGGTCATTGAGGCATTAAAAGTTCCGCAATGACACCAATGTAATGCAGCAATTCTGCTCAAGATTATGACACTTACAGTGGATTGGATAACCCTTATTAAAGCATTCATTTCAAACAACATGAGGCAAATTACAGGCTGTCATGACACAAATACCTCTGCTGTTTAGACAAGGACTGACACTAGAGAACTACTGTTGCATGATCTGGCCTGATGTGACTGAAACAATTTTTTTGTGAATCTCTGGTTTAAAGGGGCGATATAATGTAAAATCAACTTTTTTGAGTTTTATATCATGTTATGATGTTATAGTCTCATAAAAAAAACATGCCCAAAGCCTTGCTTTGACTCATTCATGCATGCTTGAGAAATCCTGCAGTGTTTTTAGGCAGCCATGCTGAGGAGCAAAACGACAGGTGGGGACCAGGAACACCCCTGGGACGTGTCTTTAAGCCGAACTTCCTCATGGCAGAGTGCACCCTCTCCCCCCACCCCACACACCCCGCCCATGACTCCTGCAGGCTCTCGGGTGAAAGTGAAACCTAATAGTCTGCTGAGCTCTCAGCATTAGTTCTCACTCAGTGAAGCTCTTCTCAGATTAAAAATACTTTTCAGGAAATGTATTTTCAGGTGCGAACACCCCTCCACCCCCGCGATGAACGAGATAAAACGGAAGCAGAAGGAGGTTCTTAAAGAGACAGAGGCCAATTTCAAGGCRTTTAGARGAGGAAGTGATGAGAAGATAAGTTTATTTTCTATTTAAACATAAAAACAGCATTTTAATAACAACTAAAGGTGACGTATTTACTTTATTATGGTATAGTATTTAAATATATGCCTGAGAAACACATAATATTGGCCCTTTAAAGGCTGCACTTGTTTTATAATCATATCATTATTTTTTGAATTTTAGTTTGGACGGAACGGTCCTATCATGACTAAATCATAAAATGTGCTGTTAAAAACACAAGAATTGCCTTCCAGGAGCAAATGAGGGTCTCCTCCTAACGGCTCAATGCTCTAAGTCTTCGCTTTCTGCTTGTTACAGCTCTGTTTCTGCTCAAAAGGGCTGGCAATAAGTGGCAGCACCCAGTGCTTCAAGCATATGCAGCTGCCAATGCTGTTTCTACACACAAATGCACAGAGGCATAGATTAGTCGTTGGCTCGCTCTTTGCTAGCAAAGCCTTCTCCCTTGCTCAGCAAGGCATCCAAGCCTGTAGCAAGTCTTGAACAAAACCTCTCAAAAACACAACAAATTAGAAATAAAACTACAAAAATAGTCAAAARACAAGTGATGTCAATGTTTTCTCACAAATACCCCTAAAACACACTGAGGGTTCATGCTCAGAAAACAGTGACAGAAACAACTTTACATATTCTACAAATTAAGACATTTCAGGTTTAAATTCAGAGCACTGCTCGTATGCTGGTATACAATTAGTGTGAACATGAGTATGTTAACGTATTTTTGTAAATCCATGTGTTTGCTGTGTCCACATTCATTCATGATGTAGGGTGTGTTTAGGTGMATGTGTTTGTTTGTATGTAGACACAAGCCCTGAGGGGCCCATCGTAGGTTGTGACAGTTCACCATCCTTCCAGATCAAGATCTGTCAASCATGCAACCCAACACCAGCCACTGCTACTCCTTCTGTTCTGTTTTCATCCCTCCACTCTTCTCCCTTCATCCATGTTGCAGCCTTAAACAAACACCGGCACTTTTTCAGCCAGGAAAAAAAGGGGAGGCGTTTTATCTACCAAGCTTGCTTCAGCAGCATCAGCYCCTTTTCACTATCACACACTGTATTTTTTTTCTTCCATTTAAATTAATGCTAATAATTATTGTACTACTCTGCATTTTTAGAAAGTAACCAGACTTTCTTGGAACCTTGAGCAACAATTTTTCAAGCTTTGTGAAAATCTTTCAAAACTTTACACACTGCCTGCTTTTCACTCACT